CATAGTTTTATGGGAAAATAACATAAGTTTCAAGAACTTTTGAACCGTAGTTTTTACCGGAATATGGGGCTGCACTAGATGTTGTTAAGAATAAAAAGGATTATTACATACGAGTACTTAATTCAATCAAAACATGGTTTTTTTAGAAATTAAGATTTGTTTCTTGTATTAAGGGATATTTTGTTGAAATACCATAATTTATAATGGAATTTTAACCGTAATTTTTACAGAAATTGGAGTTATACTATTTTGTTCTGAATTTAAAGGGTTACAACATACTACAGTACTATTTTTCAAAATCGTTCGGTGATTTCAGACATCAATTCAGTGGATATATCCACTCAAAACTCATACTCGAAAATGTTGGGGTAAACAATACTTTATCCATGTACTAACTAATATGGGGAGAAATTAAAAATAAGTTGTCAAAGATTTGCTATACCCTCCTGAATAAACTCGTACCGTACCAAGCATACAAACGGTACGTGCAAATGACTATGAGTAAACAAAACGCGGTATCGCGCGCGCAGCAGTAGTAGCCTACTACATCAGGAGCAATGACCTACATCGCATTCACACAGCTGCGCCGCCGCCCGCTGCCGAGTACATCGCGAGCGCGGGCAATCGTTCACTCCGCATCGCCGAGTCTAGTCCAACAGTTTAGTCTAGTCTAGTCCGCCGCTAAGCTCAGTCCAGTCCAGTTGGCAGCAACTGCAGCGCGCCAGGCGACGGTTCCATGAACTTCGTGGTGACGGTGCTGCGATCTAAGTAGAGGGGTCAGTACTACGTGCATCCACCGTGCACAACACAGTACATTGTAGAAATTTCCTGTTCACGCGTCCTCCCGCATAGTCTTCAATCTAGTAGTGTTATATAGTCAATGTCTGTATACTCCTATGACGCTGTAAACGTCATTACAAAATTTCAAGTGTATGCCAACAATTTCAAAAATGTTTTGTTCAGAGAATTCTACCAGATTTAAAACTTCAAATTGAATTTTTTTTTCACAAAAATTGCTGAACCTCCTCCTCTCTCATCTGACCTTGAAAAAGCAGTAGCTAACCCATACAAGCCTGATAAGAATGAGATTAGTTCTATGGTATCAGATTGCAACCAATGTTCGGTTATGAACATTATGTCCGGCTGTTGCTCTTCAATTAAAACTTCCATTTGGTTTATTTTAGAAAAAAGGCTACGCGTGTTTTGATGCAGAATTTTAAAGCAAGAATTTTTATTCAAATTTTGGTCTAAGCCAGTAAATTTATTGCTCTTTGCAAAACCCAGTTTATTGTCAGTTTTTGTTAGTTTAAAGATGGAGTGGAGGAGGTTTTGTCAGTGAGGTTGTATGAGAAAGGAGACCATCCCCTAAACGGACTACCATCACTCATCATAGATTCATTGACAGTAGCCAAACCTTGCACTTCATTTTCACACCCCTAAAAAGACATTATTCCCCCCATCACTAATCACTGTAGTTGCAGGAGACTGAAGATCTGTGACAGGGTGGCGTGGCTGTGTCCGAGTGGTTGGGCTGGAGTTGTCTACGGTCGAGGAAGCCAGGTCTGTTGGTGTAGGCTCTGGATTATTTGAAGTTGTTGTTGGGGATTGGTGGGACAAAGTGCAGTCATCTGGACAGAGGAGATGCTGTAGTATTTTAACAAATGCAGGATGTGGAACTCCATTCCTCAATCTTTGCCTAGAGGTGTCATCGGAAGTCACAACAACCACTGAGGCTCCAGTGGTTCGGACAAAATTTTACAAATTTGACTCAAAATGTGCAGGTCGAATGCAATCTCGAATGCAGCCCAGGGGCGAGCAAATGAGTGTCTTCAAGTTGCTAGTTTTAAAATCCACAGCTAATTGTCGGAACGCTGAATCATACGTTGTCTTATAGTTGGCAAAGTTGGTAGAGTTAAGGAAGTATCTAGGCTTTGTCACAAGTCCATAGACAGGTTGTCCATTCCCTGATTTCTGGCATGTTAGGTTCCTGCTACAGTAGTCCGCTCTTGAGGGTTTCCCAAACTTTTCCTTGAAGACTACCGCAACTCCCTTACTCATGTTTTTATTGTCTTCAAAATCTCCTGAGATGCAGTGGGCAAAGGCTACATTTTTGCTGTTGTCATATTGTTCTATAACAGAGCCCATATCTGCTACCTTTATTTTGATGGATTTGAAAGTATCATTTGATGTTTTGGGGTTTGTGGTCGAGTTGGCTATTCTTCTAGAGAGGACTCTTTTTCCAAGCTTATTTAAGTGTTGTCCATGATTTGTAAAAAAAAGGTTCCTTTTAAGATCACTAATGTCAATTACATTTAAATTTTTTGACTGTCTTAAGTTGTAGTTTAGTTTGTAGATTTCTTTGTTGCTAGCATATTACAGTAGTAATATGTTAGCACTAACTTTCAAAACTGTAACAACGGTTAGTGCTTCGTTAGTGCTGGTTAGTTCTTCAACTCCCATCGTTAGTGCTCTTACGGTTCAGGAGCTGTAACTAGAAAAACTGTTGAGTTGTCAACTTTACGGAAGTTAGCCCCCCCTAACCAGTAGTAATATGTGAGCACTAACTTTTAAAATAGTGTAAATGGTCAGCGCTGGTTAGTGAATGCTCCTGGAGTTGTAATGAAAATCTCTAGTTACGAGGTTAGATTTTTAAGGCGATTGAAAGAAAGCTCCACACAATTATATCGACTAGACTCCACACATTTTTTAAAACTTTAAATAAAAGATAATATTTCCCCAGGGAAGTTATCCCCTCCTCACTTGGGGCAAGGATTTATTTAGTACATGTAGCCTAGCTACATGCATAAATCCAGACGAAAAAAAGAAAGTGCCTGAAAAAACTGCAGAGATCGGTTGCAGTACCTGAACAATTAAAATGTCATGACCTTGGTTTATCATCCATGCCTTTATGCAATGGCGATGTATCCTACGTACAAGAATTTGGTATTAATGGACATCTGATGATCGAGATTGCAAGTGATAACCAACATCAGCAGCTTGATAAAAACGACTTTGAGTCGAACACAAGCTACAGTTTTTTCGGTTATAGCTCCTGAACCGTAAGAGCACTAACGATGGGAGTTGAAGCACTAACCAGCACTAACGAAGCACTAACCGTTGGTACAGTTTTGAAAGTTAATGCTCACATATTAGTACTTGGGGGGGGGGGTTAACTTCCGTGAAGTTGGCCCCTCCACAGTTTTTCGGTTATAGCTTCTGAACCGTAAGAGCACTAACGATGGGAGTTGAAGCACTAACCAGCACTAACGAAGCACTAACCAGCACTAACGAAGCACTAACCGTTGGTACAGTTTTAAAAGTTAGTGCTCACATATTACTACTGGGGGGGGGCTAACTTCCGTGAAGTTGGCCCCCCACAGTTTTTCGGTTATAGCTCCTGAACCGTAAGAGCACTAACGATGGGAGTTAAAGCACTAACCAGCACTAACGAAGCACTAACCATTAATACTAGTTTAATTGTTAGTGCTTTTATGGGGGGGGGCTAACTCCCGTGAAGTTGGCCCCCCACAGTTTTTCGGTTATAGCTCCTGAACCGTAAGAGCACTAACGATGGGAGTTGAAGCACTAACCAGCACTAACGAAGCACTAACCGTTGGTACAGTTTTTAAAGTTAGTGCTCACATATTACTACTGGGGGGGGCTAACTTCCGTGAAGTTGGCCCCCCCACAGTTTTTCGGTTATAGCTCATGAACCGTAAGAGCACTAACGATGGGAGTTGAAGCACTAACCAGCACTAACGAAGCACTAACCATTAATACTAGTTTAATTGTTAGTGCTTTTATGGGGGGGGCTAACTTCACGGACCTGAATCACACTATTTTGCAGCTTAGCTTTAATTGCTTCTAAAGTACTAAGTACTTTGATTTGGTTGTTTGCCTCCAGAAGTTTTTCCTTTATTTCACAATATTTACTTTCAATTTCATTAGACTGTTCTTTGTGATTAATATCTTTTTTAGGTTTTAGGGTAATATCATTACTAACCACTTTATTTGCCTTTAAAGGAGTAGTCATTGCATGCAATTTTTGCTGATTACACTTCTTTTGGGAGTAAGATCGAGTTTTAATTGCAGGACTTTCCTTAGCCCGACTATGGTTGGAAAGGTTCTTATTTTGTAAAACCATTTTCAATTTGCTTGTAATCAACCTTAAAATTAAGAATACAATGGAAACTCCATGTACAATATCGAAACTTAAATTTATTTAATTAAAATACAAAATTGATGGTAAAAGAAAATAAGGGTTCACAATAAAGTTTACAATCAGTGGGGAATGAATTTAATAAGGAAAGCTTTAGGCTAAGCCTATTACAATAGTTCTAAAGGTTCAGGTGTTATAATTTATTGCATGAATCTTTATCTCAGGTGGGGTGATCGAGCGGCATTTGAATTTAATCTTGTGATTTTATATAGCCTAATTAAAATTTTGTTTTGAAATATAAAAATAGGTTCAAATTATTTTCTGATTGGTTGAATTAATGACTTGATTAGTAGTCCAGTAAATAGAGACAGAAATAGGGGGGTTAACTTGCAAACGGTCCGGTAAGTCTAAATGTTTTATATGTTGTCTTGGATGGTAAGTAGGTGTTAAAACCGCAAAATGCACAATTCTACCCCCTCCGCGCCCGCCGCCATATTGAAAAATCGAAAAAATCGGTACTTTATAGAGATTTTCGCCTATATCTCCGTTTTGGTGCGTTTTAGCAAAAAATATGTAATTGCAATGTTTAGGAAATTTAATTGTCTACAACATTGCAATTACATATTTTTTAAGATAGACTTACGCATTTTTGATATCGTTATTTCATTGTGTTTCAACCACTATTTAATTGTGCAAAAAACAGTCTGGAAGTAGCATGAATAATCCTTTTTCATACATTACACACCTCTCGGTAAAAAAAAATTAACACCTCATAAATTAAGTTATCTTCTAAAATTTGTTAACAACTATCTCTTCTTTATAATCATTTAGTCTGAGTTACCTTTCTTCTTAGCAGCCTGTAGTATCTGTTGGTACTGTGCCCGGTGGCGAGCCTGTTCCTCCTCACTCTTTGCAGGCAAGTTGGCAGGCCTGTCCAGCTGTATGAGGGCTGAGCTAGAAGCCACCCTAGTCTCCAGTCTAGCAGTAGACCCACTACAGGTAGAGTCTGGAGCCAAGCTTCCTCCATCTGACTATACGATAGGGAAGAAACATTGTTGTTATACATCATTTGAAGAATAAATGTTTTCCCTATGGTATTACCATAACCTCTTCTAATAAAATGCCACAGCAAGACAAAAGTGGCAAAACCACTGTCCCGGCAAACTGAAACAGCTGTTATAGTGGATCGTCTGCCTAATGTATTTATTACTATGGCAACAGACTAGCCGGTGCGAAGTTGCTACACACTAACAAGGGTCGCATCTGGCCACGGCTTTGTATTAGAGAGGCTATGGTATTAAACATCGTATTTGAGCATTTATGGTATTCAAAACAAGGCACATTATGAGCTGGGTTCAGGGCCGCAGCTCTGTGGGGGGGGGGGGGGGTTTGGGAGGGTCGTTTGACGAAGGTGACAAGTTTTGGGGGCGGCAAAATTAAGTTTGCTATGTAATTTGTTTTAACCTCACTATACAAAAAGGTATGCTTTGCTTACTAAAGTGGTCTAGCCAATACAATGAAAAGGGCTCCTGAGAAAAAATGTTTATGAACGCATGAGGTTCAAGGATGGGAGCAGCGGAGATGACTGCTCAAGGTCAAAGTCTTCTTGTATTTACAGTCGTATGTAGAGAGAGTCCATCCTATTCCTGATTCCCTCTCCGCTCCTTTGTAAACACCTATTTTTTTAAACATATATTTTTCTTAAATTGCTTTTATTTATACCTGAAATTGTCGACATTTCTAAACGATCATTAGCATTATTCCTTAGCTTAACGATCATTAGCTCTTTTTCTATATATTCAGAAAATGGTAGTAACCTTTATAAGGGTTCAAATTAGCCCTCTATTTTTAAGGTTGGGTGTCGGTTTACTGTTTTTTTTTAAACACTCCAAAATTTTGGATTGATAAAATGTGTTGGTTTCTAATTATTGGTTGAAATGCAATAATTTTGCCGCGGTTGCGGGTGGCGACAACGAGTTTTGGTGTTCACAGCAATGTTCAAGATTTTGCCCCAATTGGGAGAGGCGATGACAATGGTCTTAGGGCTGGCAGGATTGTTCCGGATTTTGTTGCGGACGTGAGATAGAAGTTAGCAGTGCCGGACTTACCACTAGGCCACGGCTTAGGGCAGCAAGCGAAACGGGGCCGCAGTGTTTTGTAGAAAAACAACTTTTTAAACAACAAATTGCTTCAAGGATTAATGATAATGATAACAATGTTCCCGTGATAAGCATGATAAGTTTAAGATTTTTTGGCAATCGCAGATGACAAGTGGAGCTCAGCCTCCACAACATGATCTACCCAACTCAAATGTCCCGCGAAGAAGGCACTCTTCAACTCACGACCGGGCTCGCGCATACGTGGCGAACACGTGAGGTGAGTTGAGTGAACTAGGACTCTGTCTTGATGTTGCTGATGTCGAAGAACATGGACGTGTGCTAGAAGTTGGGGTATATGGGGTAAGGCCCCATGAGAGGTACGGTTTTAGATATGTAGTTACTCTTAATTTCCATAATTGTTTTTTTCAGATTCTGTAGTCAATTTTTGACTATCTTATCTCATTCCTAGCCTCACCTTTCATTATCAATATTGGTTCAAATGTTAGTTCACGTTGTGTCCAGTTGTCCGATTGGTAATTATTGCACATATTCAAAGACAATAATATTACTGTAGTTAAAATGGTTGAATTAGTATTAATAATCAAGAAAATTGGCTCATTGGGCCTGTGATTAGCAGTAAATTGTTTCTTATGGTTAAATAAAAGGGATCCAGTTGTCGTTTCCTACACAAATGGTTTGGTCGTAATAGTCAATCAAACGACCACAATCGCCAAAATGTAGCTCAAACGCCACAGACGGTAACGATGTCCTCGTGATGGCGGGAGATGTTGACGATTTATACCCGATCACGGGTGACGATAGTCATGTCCCCGTGATAGTGGGATTACAGGTACGATGATTTCAGTTAAAAGTCAAGTATGATGTCACTAATGGTGAAAGACTAACAATTTTGCTGCTAATGCAGGTGACCTCAATTATGTCCTCGTGATAGCGAAAGATGTTCACGAATCACCATTCAGCCGCGATCGTCGGTGACAATAACGATGTCCCCGTTATAGCAGTAGATATTCACAATTTTGCCGTGATTGCAGGCAGTTATTTTCACCCTGCGCCTCCTGCCTGGATCCGCCCGCCACTGACCATTAATTAATTTATTTATTTATTACATATTATTACATCATTTGACAGGACATAGTGTCATATACAGGGTAACTAAAACTAAGAATAACAAAAATGTCTAAGTAACTTATTAACACGTTCGCTGTGGCATACGTCAAACAGGCGCTCAACAATGGCAGTAGGACCCGGGCAAAGCTCCATGCGCCACCCAATCAGCGAACACAATTAACATTCAAATATTTCAGTCTAACGAATCACAAAAGAACAGTGGTGATTGTACTGCGTTACCCCAAAAGTGGACGTAGTTCACTGAATCACCCAAGGGTAGCAGCACTGACTGGATCCGTAGCCAGTGTCTTGGTAATGTGGCTCGAAGAGAGAAAATCCCCGAAAACGGGACAAAGGCATTGCCAGACGGGATTTTACGGGAAATTTTAGTACCAACCTACACCAAAATCAAGTTCGCATTCTTAGCTACAGGAGCGACAAAAGCAGCTAGCACATCGCTCGACTGCTGGCCTCAAACTGGTCCAACAACGACACTGTGTTGTACTTTTACAACGCTAGCTCCTGGCGCGCAGTATGCACGTTGTAAAAATACAACACCCGCAGCAAACGTTTTTTTTGGATTTTAAACAGGTTCTCAGGGTGGATCTGAACTCAGTACTACTATAAATATTTTTATGTAAAGCGGTAACTTATTGGAAACTTTTGGGCCTATATATTGGGAGGATAAATGAAATTTCTCTAATCTAAGGGTTTCTGGCTTAATATAACTCTTAACCAGTGGCGGCACTTCCATAAGGGCCAAGTGGGCCGGGCCCACCCAAAATAAACACTAAAGTATATTTTTAAATTCTTAATAGATTATTTGGTTGATATTATTCAATAAACTGCATTAATTTTTAACTTTCAACGGGTCATAACTTTTGTTGAAATACAATGCAATCATCTCGTAACACATTGGAGGGCCACGGATTTCGGGCCCTTCTAGCCACCATAAGAACGTAATGGACAAGGCAACGCCAGCCGGCAAGACCAGTGAGCAGTCGGGCAGGTCGCTCCCTTGAAAATATTGAGGCTGTACATGATAGTGTAGAGGACAACGCAAGAACATCGATTCGTCGGCGTAGTAAGCAGTTATAGCTTGGAGCTCAGAACAAAGAGTTTTGGTAAAAGACCTACACACGTTCCCTTACAAAGTTCAACTCACACAAGAGATCAAGCCAAGAGATCCCGTAAAATGGCTTGAATTTGTTAACTGGGTGGTGGGAAATCAAGATGATAATGACGTGTTTTTAAAAACTTTGCTGTTCAGCGATGAAGCACACATTCATCTAAGCAAGATCGTGTGATTTCACACCGCGAGGCTATTTTCTTTAGGAATATTTAAAGTCGCTTGTTTTAGCCAATAATCCTCAAACAATCCCAGAAGGGAGGAAATTATTCGTGCCATTAATGGAATTCAACAGGAAGTGTGTTAAAAAGTGATGGAAAACATAGTCAAGAGATGTCGGGCTTGTCAGCATAATATTCCATTACTAATCGGAGATACTAAACTTTCAGATTCATGTTTCATATTGTAAATTTAGCGTGAGAATATATGGTTTTTTAACATTTCAAATCCGGCGTTCTTATTGGGACACCCTTTATATGAGATATTGGAGAATAATTGTAAAATATATTAAGTCTAGGTCTAACTCAGTCTTTCCACTGGAATAAAACAAAACGCAGAGGATACGCGACCGGTAACCGGACGTGGATTAGGCGTCCGGCAGTTACTGTCATAACCTAACCTAACCAACCAAACCTGCTGATAGTGAAAAAAATCAAATGAAGGTTCAATTCTCTTCATAACATAAAATTATAAATGCCGAAAATGCTAACAAAAGATGTACAGTTAAGAAGAAATTACATTCAAAGCAAAATTTGTGACAAAAAGTTTAAGATACCGATGGGTTTCGAACCGGGGACCACTCGCATACCAGCCGAGCACTCTATCCACTACACCACGAACACTGATGGCTGAACATCGTATCATTGTGGTAATGGCGTTCCGGGACCCCCTACCGGACGACTAATCCACGTCTGGTTACCGGACGCCTAATCCACGTCTGGTTACCGGACGCGTATCCTCTGTGAAAACAAAAATCCCACTCACCCGGCCAAAAAAGTCCTGTTTTATGCCCCTACATGAATGTCATAAAATGTGCATTCTGGTTTATCTTATTCCACAACGTACTAAGATATGATGGTTTTAACCAAAAAGCTAAGAAAATCAGGCGTCAGAGTCGGAAATTCGGTTTTATTAGGCACCCCGTTTCAATTCCGTGCATGGTCTAAAACTTCTGTTTTTGTGATTTAAGTCCTCATACCCCTTTTACATACGCGGGGGTAGGCCTACTAATGATTTTTCGAACCATATACAGTCCTCAGGAAGTTTCGCCTGACATCAGCATCTTTGGATGACTTGGAATTATCTAAGCAATTAATTGTTTCTGATCGTGGTGCATGTTAAATAATCATCTCCACGCAGTATTTTCATGGTGTTCTTTCTATGAACTGTTTTTAAATATGAAATATTTTTTATTTGGAAAATTTAATGGTAACGTACTGGTTGAATAATTGTTCCTAATTTTGAAAATTCATGGTCCATTGGAGAAATCCATGCATAATCCATGCCTTTTTTCATGGTCACAAGAATTCATGCATAATTCAAGCTTTTCGAGGTTTTCATGGCTGGTGGCAACCCTGAGTAAACTAACTCATTGCCTTCTAGAATTGTCACCTCTGTAGTATGGTTTGTGTAACTTTGTAGGGAGCTGAATAACTCATATAAAATACAGTTAATGTATCGTTACTTGTTTGTAAACTAAACTACAAGAAAGGGAAAAAATGTGCCAAAAATGTTTAAGTCAGTACACTCACCTCCACATATTGATCCACTGAGAGAGAGCTATGAGACGAAATGGGAGATACATTTTTGCCAAACAGTTTCCACCGGCCAAAACTGTCTTGAGATTTTGAACTGGACTTCCAGTTGAAGACATTTCTGAAAAAGAATGATTCCCTCAATTTCTAAAAACTTTGCAAGCCAAATTCATGATCTAAAAGATCTTGAGTCAAGGAAGTTTGAGCATAGCGAATTTCCCATATAGGGAATAAGCTATTACCGTAGTACTCATGGAAGACCTGGACCCAGGACAGATTTAATTTTTTGTTTTGAGGTCCCTAGAGGTCAAAAACACTACCGTTCATATTCATATATATATATAAACTAGCAGAGTACCCGTCCTTCGTACGGGGTTGGAATATAAGTATAAAATACTTATTGCAGTTATACTCAAGCTATGCGTTTGCAATAAGGGAGGACACAGTTTGATAAAATTTGCTTTTTTAAATTTACAGTATTCTATAGTATTACACATCTACTATAGCCATAATGTTCTACCACTTCACCTAAACAATAGAGAAAAATAAATTATCAACAATTCGCAAAATATTACAAATTATTCATGAAATGAAAAACATAAACATAACTGTAAACAATCCTACTTTGACAGTTCTCATTGGGAACCACAGTTTTTTGTTGCTGCTTAGCTCAAATTAGCTGTTTTCATAAATGCAAAAAAAATATAGTGCTGCACCCTGTTGGTAAATCTTATAACTTTTTAATGCTTTTCCATATCTTAGAACCAACTTTTTTAGTTGAAACAGCTGACTAAATTCTTTAATTCCTAAATATGAATACTGTACTCATAAGGTTAACATGGGAAATTACAGAGCCACTGGGGCGGAGCCCGAAAGGATTTTTGAGATAAGAATATGCCTATATGTTAATCGGGAATGTAAGCTATCATCATGCCAAATTTCAGCCCAATCCGTCCAGTGGTTTATGCGTGATTGAACTTCAAACAAACAAACAAACAAACAAACAAACACACAAACTTTCACATTTATAATATTAGTAAGATATTTGTTTATAAATAAATATATAAATATATATGTGTGTCTGTTAGCGCGATAACTCGAGCAAAAATGATCCGATTTTGATGAAATTTGGTACAAACGTGTAAACCTACGTTTATTTGAACGAGTATGCGAACCAGCATAATCGGACCATGGGAACGGGGTTTTATGGGGTAATAATGGGTTTTTCCTATTTTTGACCCTAAAAACAAAAAATTTTGCAATTTCTTTTTAAACCGTTTTGTAAAGCTTAAAAAAATAAATAATTTAGTATATTGAAGAGCTGTTGTATGCCTAACGGTAACGGAGAAAATTCAAAAATAGTGTAATTAAAAATTCCTATGTTATTCTTAGGAGAAAATGAAAACTGTTGTAGTTTACTTGTTTATGGATATATATTGATAAAATTCGGCAAATTTATTTATTTCATCCTATAGGTAGGCTACTATTGACGTATGGTCAAAAAACACTTTTTACCTTCCCCGTAGCAGCAAACCTAAGCACGCATTAAATCTAATGTTATTTAAATTGGGAATAAATATGTCCTATTTATAGAAATATTTTAGTAAAAATGTTATCAGACAAGTTGAAATTCGCTTATAGTCTGCAGGTTTGCTGCGGCGGGGGTATACGATTTTGGCGGTTTTTACCTTATATATTTAGATCAATTCTCATTTACAATCAGAGTTGATCAGAATCAATTCAATAGTGCATAAGGATTTTCAATCAGAATTATCTAGATGTTAATTTTAAAATTCACCAGATTGGTCTCACTGACCCTACAATTTGATGACCTTAGGGATCTGAGCTTCCTATGTTTGTGGTTTTTGGTTATTACATTTTATAATACACCCAACTCATCTAATATCTTACTCATCTTACTAATATTATAAATCTGAAAGTTTGTGAGTTTGTGTGTATGTTTGCATGTATGTTTGTGTGTTGCTCAATCACGCATAAACTACTGGACGGATTGGGCTGAAATTTGGCATGATGATAGCTCACATTCCCTATTAACATTTAGGCATATTCTTATCTCAAAAATCCTTTCGGGCTCCGCCCCAGTGGGTCTGTAGTTCCCCATGTTAACCTTATGAGTATTCATATTTAAAGGGAATTAAAGAATTTAGTCAGCTGTTTCAACTTTACAAGTTGGTTCTATAATATGCAATAGCATTAAAAAGTTATAAGGTTTCCCAACAGGGTGCAGCACTATTATAATTTTGTTTGTGCATATATGACAACAGCTAATTTAAACTAGGCAGCAACAAAAAGCTGTGATACACAATGAGAACTGTCAAAGTAGGATTGTTTATCGTTAGGTTTGAGTTTTTAATTTAATGAATAATTTGTGATATTGTAAGAATGTTTGATAATTTATTTTTTTCTATTGTTTAGGTGCAATGGTAGAACATTATGGCAATGGTAGATGTGTTAACCTATATCATACCGTAAATTTATGAATCAAATTTTATCAAACTGTGTCCTCCCCCCATTGCAAACGCAAAGCTTGAGTATAGCTGCAATAAGTATTTTATACTTATATGCCAACCCCGTACGAAGGACGGGTGCTCTGCTAGTCTAATATAGTTTATGAACAAATAAGTGAATATTTTGAGGCAAATGACTTGTTTAATGTTTCCCAATTTGGATTTAGAAAAGGAATGTCTACAATTGATGCTCTTGACAATCTCATCAGGCAAATTCATTAGTCCTTTGAAAGCAAGACCTTTGCTCAGGGCACCTTTTGTGACCTGAGCAAAGCATTTGATTGTGTTGACTTTGAAATTCTTATTAAAAAGTTAGAACTGTAGGCCTATGGGTTTAACGGGTCTTCTCTAAATTTTCTTTCATCTTATTTAAAAAACCGGAAACAAGTAGTAAATTCTGATGGGAAAAAAGTCACAAGAAAGGGAAGTAAATTGGGGCGATCCACAGGGATCAGTCCTTGGCCCACTCCTGTTTGTAATCTACATTAATGACCTTCCAATGGCAATAAATACAAAAACTATTCTGTACGCGGATGATACAACTTTTTTTTGTGAAAACAATAACCAACTTGTACTTAAAAATTTAGTCCATGTCACAAAATTAAATGCATCCAAATGGTTCCATGCCAATGGATTTCTATTGAATGACTGTAAAACTTAAGAAATAAAATTTACATTGAAACACAATTCTGTAGGCCTATGGGTTTAACGGATATTCTCTAAATTTTCTTTCATCTTATTTAAAAAACCGGAAACAAGTAGTAAATTCTGATGGGAAAAAAGTCACAAGAAAGGGAAGTAAATTGGGGCGATCCACAGGGATCAGTCCTTGGCCCACTCCTGTTTGTAATCTACATTAATGACCTTCCAATGGCAATAAATACAAAAACTATTCTGTACGCGGATGATACAACTTTTTTTTGTGAAAACAATAACCAACTTGTACTTAAAAATTTAGTCCATGTCACAAAATTAAATGCATCCAAATGGTTCCATGCCAATGGATTTCTATTGAATGACTGTAAAACTTAAGAAATAAAATTTACATTGAAACACAATTCTGTAGGCCTATGGGTTTAACGGATATTCTCTAAATTTTCTTTCATCTTATTTAAAAAACCGGAAACAAGTAGTAAATTCTGATGGGAAAAAAGTCACAAGAAAGGGAAGTAAATTGGGGCGATCCACAGGGATCAGTCCTTGGCCCACTCCTGTTTGTAATCTACATTAATGACCTTCCAATGGCAATAAATACAAAAACTATTCTGTACGCGGATGATACAATTTTTTTTTGTGAAAACAATAACCAACTTGTACTTAAAAATTTAGTCCATGTCACAAAATTAAATGCATCCAAATGGTTCCATGCCAATGGATTTCTATTGAATGACTGTAAAACTTAAGAAGTAAAATTTACATTGAAATACAATTCTGCCTTAAATAATGAAAAAAGTGCTGTCACTACAAAATTATTGGGTCTTCATATTGATAATCAACTATCCTGGAATGATCATATAAATTATTTGTCTACTTGACTATCTCGAGTAATTTTTCTTCTTGGTTGCCTCAAAGATGTAATTCCAAAGAACCATTTGAGATCGGCTTATTTTGCATATTTTCAGTCTGTAATGAGACATGGATTGATATTCTGGGGTGGGTGTGGAAGAATTAATGAAATTTTAATCCTACAGAAGGGGGCTATCAGAGCTATGCTATCGCGGACCTGTTTCCTTCCCTTCCAATAGCATTTTAGGATTGCAGATACCTTAATCTAATCGTCATAAACAGTTTCCACACTCCAGACTGCTCGCCTTTACTACTTCCTTCACCACTTCCTACGTGGCGGACCTGTTTTCCTCCCTTCCCATAGAATTTTAGGAATGCAGATACCTTAATCTAATCGTCATAAACAGTTTCCACACTCCAGACTGCTCACCTTTACTACTTCCTTTACCACTTCATATGTCACGGACCTCAAGCTAGTGTAGTCATTTGATTATATTTATGATCCATACCGTTTTTGTTCTAATATGTGTGGAATAATGCTATCAGCTATTTTTTTATCTACTGCATTCAAAATCAACAGCTGATCATATGTCTTTGTTTATGTGTCAAATACTGCATCCATAAGGATTACATTGAAACTTTGACACCCAGTGGGGCGGATTCCTGAGAGACTTTTTTGACGCCATATAGATATTGGCACTCACCGATATGGTCTTTATCACCATGCAAAATTTGAAAACTATTGATTCAGCCGTCTAGGAGGAGTTTGCGTATTACAAAATGCATAAGAGTCAACGTATAAGAGCTTCGCTCAATTAATCCAGTATGCAGTTGTTTACAAAATGTATTTCAGTGTTGTGTTTGTAAGATAATAAAAGAGTTTATAACATTTTTCTTTCATTAAATTTTAATATTACAACAAAGGTTATGGGCCTTTTAAAACATTAAAATAATCATTTTACAGTATTCTGTGCTTAAAAATAAGTTAAACGAGTTTTGGCTATAGGATTGAACCTTTGAAACGAAATAATTATGACACTTGGAAAAATCAAGCTGAAGCTCCAACAAAACCTAATGGAGAATGTAT